CGTCTTCTCCAACCAGTGAGGTAAAGGCACATCTTTATATGATCATTATAGTTATAACAAATAAGAGAATAAAGTGAACAGGTATAAAATACTATATGACAGTAAAAAAAGTTGTTATTAATAAACAAGAATACAGTTTGAAAGGGGAGTGATTTGTAAAGTATATCCATAAAGAAAAATTAAATCTGCTTCCAGTTCTGTCTCATATGGGTGTTGAGAGATGTATCCATAGATCTCTTAATGTTGCTCTCAAAGTGCACCAGATTTATGCTTTTAACTTCAACATTTAAAACAAATCTTCCCGGGGAAAGTTGAGTTCAATAATTTGTACGGCCCTCTGAGGATATTGTAAAAATTGAAATGGCCCTTGAGAGGAAAAAGGTTCCCCACCCCTGTGTTAAAAGGATAGTGTGTACAACATCTTTTAAGGTTCCTATTGGTTTCTCTAGCCAATAAATAAACAGACCCTTAGGATTTATTGTTCAAGTACCCACAAGTTTTCCGAGCACCCGTACCTAGTGCACAGGGAGCAAGAGAGCTGCTGTTAACAGACTTGACTGGTAGCAGCATGGGGCGATAGAATTATACAGTCTGGTGCTATACCAGAGCAAGCAGGGTAGGAATGTTAGAAGTGAGAAGCTAAGTGTATCTTCTCACCACCGGCTTAAATAGGGATTGTATAATTAGCTTAACGAGGTAATACCAGGTTGAGAATAGGATGCTTTTAATGGAGATTTGGTTCAGTGCCACTCATTGTTTTAAACATTAAGGTGCGCAATGTTTCTGCTCGCTGCGAGGTTTGGAGCAGAGCAGCTAGTTAAGTTGAGTTTCTATGGGAAGGTCCCCTGCTAGCTTGCGACGCCTCATAAAACTGTCATCTTAGGTTGCGAATAAAAAAGTTCAGCGGTAAACAAGGACAACGTTTTCATAATTTGAACTTTTTAGTCAAATTTGTGCTTGGCGACAATTTTGAGGATACGCAACAATGAGGGAAGCACTTCTATGTAGTCAGACGGCACTGCACTCTCCATATAAAGGCCATAGAGAAGGCAGCATTATAAAGGATATATATCCATTTATTATTATGCTTTGAAAGAGGATTGAGCTGCAGCAGTCTCACCATGTTGATGGGGTCCACCGGTCCAATGCTGTTGACATATACTGCGGTTTCAATCACTGTTGGCCTCACTGAGACATAACACAAAACATACTGCATTTACATTGACAGAATAAAATTCACATGTTTGTTAGCTGATGACCAAAATGATAATGTATGTCATATCAACCTAAAGAGATACAACAAACAGCAGACTGTTTTGTTCCTATAGAGACTATAAGGCCTGTGGGGATAGGTGATTAGTCAAAGTAGATAGTCAAAGTTGAACAAGGTTGAATACAAGGTTCTCCCCAGACAGCAGCAGCTTTTTTGGTTCCAAAGTTAAAACAAAGAACATTTCCAGAGGATGAACTTGACTTGCCTCCGATGTCAGGCCGCAGTTTGTTGTCGTAGCCCTCCAGCAGTTTATTCAGGATCAGAGTCACATCGCTCTCGTAGACCCTCGGTGATAACACCCATGTCTTATTTATGGGCACGTCTTCATAGTCCTCGTCTTCCTGTTTACTGGGCCCAGATGCGGCACTGTGGAGCAGAAAAAGGAAACATCGAAAGAAACAAAGACAGACAGTATTTCCATGTTATCAAATGGGTGCGAGAGCATGCCAGAAAATATGTGTTGGCGTTTTCGAGCTATTCAACAGTGTTTGAGGGTATGCCAATTTCAATTTAGAAATTAGTGTTTACAGACTGTCAACCCCCAGGGCTGTGGTGGGGGGGTAAACACACGCCTACAGAATTTTGAAAATTCAACATTTATGATTGTTTACTCACTTGTCGTTGCAGGTTTTTCACTAATTCAACTCATATGTTTAATGAGCATTATATGACTGTTCGGAACAAGTCCTGTCTCTGCCCCCTTCCTCTCCTCTCTGGCTATCCCCTTAGCTTACAAAGGGCTAGTGATATAAACACTTGGAGGTCTCTCCTCCTGTTGCAGTAGACAACAAAACAATATACTATTTCTAGAATAGTTCTAAAATGCATTTGACTGGAGGTTTGCATGCATCTATATATTATATCTAATATCCATTTCGTTTGTGAACTTGAGATGCAAATAAACAGGCAGTGACATCAGAAAGAAAGAAGCCTCTTTGCTTGTAGATAGTACTTCATTTATTTGGAGAAGTGCATTTTGGACATGGCAAGCCTCTGATTGCACAGACCAACTCCTCACTTTGCAACTTTGTTGTTTTTAACACAATTAAGAACAGAATAGGACAGAATAGAATAAGCCCTTAGATGTATTCTCAAAAGTGACAGGGAATGAGGATCAGACCATTGTCTTGCTCAGACAATTATCCAGCTGATTGTTAGTGACTCAAATTTATGTTGAGTATATTTGGATACACAACTTAGATACAGTATATACCTTGTTGGGGCAGAGAATGCATTTTGTGATTTTATCAAGGTATCAGATGATACACCAAACAAATATCCATTCTAAAGGAATTATGCGACAGTAAAAAGCATAAAGTGTAACAATGAGGTGTCTACAGGCAGAGGTTCAGTGTGGTCTGTGGGTCACAGTTACTATCCCTCCTGACCAAGGCACAGAAACTCACTATGGTAACATCTGATCAACTTAATGCACAACTAAGCAAGTCAACTAAACGGTGGGGTGGGTGAGACTACAGTGTTAGGCTTTGAAAACCCCATATCTTATGTGTTGTATATTATTTGCAAACAATGATAATGTGGGCATGTACAGGGAACACGGAAAAAGGCATGGCCACGATTCATGATCCAGACACAACGATTACCCAGCACAGCATTGACCCCTGCACACAGAGACACAGACACACACGACACACACATAGCACAGGGATAAGGTTCCGGATGCAAAGTGAGTAACACGCATTTATGGGACATGTATACATGGTAAGTCTGAGCCAGCACTAACTATAAGCTTTATCAGAGAGAAACACCTACTTCTGCTGGCAGTTCATTGCACATTGCATCTTTATTGTAGCCTGTAAAACACAACGTCAGATTACTTATTGTTTAGTCTATGAAATAACTATTTTATTATCAGTAACCTGCATGAATGCAAATGTAACGTTTTGTTCCATTAGGTTACGGTCGTCTATTGAAAGATCTACTTTTGCTTTACATTATTACATTAATGTCGTAACTGACGGACACACTCCATATTTGTAGCATTTTCTTCAGTTGTTTTTTCCTATTATAATAATACCTTTAATTTACTAGCATATAGTAATAAAACCAATCTAAAAACTTCTGATAAAACATCTCATCTTTAAAACTAAACAACGGTGAGATCATGCTGCTTACATTTCCTGCAGATCCTTAAAAACATTTGTGTGGATGGATGGGAAGGTATTTTCAATATGGAGTTATGTTGAGCAAACAAGTCCATGTGCTGAGTTTGTTCTTTTTGGACACTTTTGCTGACAAGAAATGCAAGGGCAGTCATTTGTTCTGGTTACAGGAGGATAACCTACTTTCCCTGGGAATAATGATGTCAAAAGTGATTCTCAGTTTATCAAGAATTGTGCTGATCTAATAGAACTCTCCAAGGACAAAAGCCAGGGTTTGCTAAAATAGGAACTGAACAAATGCATGATTTTAAGAAGACATTACACAACATCAGTGGTCCCTGCAAACACTATACCATTTAGCTGATGAAGAGTTTTGGGACTAGCAAAAGGTGTGCTGCTTCTGTTCTGTTAATTAAGATAAAACTGATACTCAAAAGAGACCTTGGGACTTTCTTGGACCACTTGTAGTTACGAGTACATAACCTCAACACTGGCACAATAGCCCAGTGCAGCAGAACATAACTCTGTGCTCTCACTGGAACAGAAATATGGTGAACAACACAAGACTATGTTTATCTGAATCATGCCCTGATGAACATGAATTATGGATCGAGACGACTTGCTTTTTTAACACTCTAGCCACATACATGTATAGTACACTATTTGTATAGCAATACACTATGTTTATATATTCAGATGATTCGTAATTATAGAGTATTTGTTCTGTATATTTTACAATGTTTAGATACTCCTCTGAATATAGGTATGTTTTACTAAGGATATGTATTGTTTTTACATTTGTAATGTAAATCTTTATTTTATTTGTATTTTATTACATTTTTAAGTAATTTGTCATTCCTGAAGTATCTATCCCTCCATCCATCCATCCATCTCTCTCTGTCTATCTGTCTGTATCTATGGGCCTTTCTTATTTCTCTAATTTCCCCTCCTCGACTCCTCGGTCCTCCGATAGTGACCCGGAAATGGTTTTTGGTGCGCCATGTTGAAGGACATCTCATTTCCCTAAATGCACTTCAAGGACCGAGGATCGAGCGTCGAGGAGGCTCTATGGAGGAGCTATAACCGAGGATACACTGATGGGTCCTCCACGGTCCTCCACGGTCCTCCACGGCTCCTTCGTAGATGCATTTCCGGGAACAGAGATGTTTCAAAGAGTCGTGACGCACGGCCGGACTTATCTCAGCCAATGACAGCTCTGCATGCATCCCCTGGATATTATTTTAGTAACTGCTTTCATCGCGACGCAATGTTTACAGTGAGGTCCGTGCAGTAAGCAGAGCAGTGTGTAAAATATATTACTCTCTGTATTTGTATGCTTTAGTTTAGTAGATATCTACAAACAAAGAGTCGATATTTTTCGAAGACGTGACCTGCTCTATCATTTTCAGTCACATTGACCCTGAAACACATTTTGAGTTTGATACACTGTTGGAAAGATGAGATTCTTAGCTTTCTAATGATATCAATATTGTCTTTGTCCTCCAAATATTAAGCAAAATACGTCACTTTACATAATGAATGTCATCGAACCATGATTTTGAGAAAAAGGCCTTCAAAGTTTGCAGTACTTTCTTAGGTATTTATTCAAATGAACCATACCATAAAACGAATTCATCTAGAGCTGTTTGCACAAAAACACACATGCTTATGCGCACACATCTATTCCCATGTACATGGCCATGTGCACACCCAGACCACATGCACACCCGTACTCACGTGCACGCCCGTACTCACGTGCACGCCCGTACTCACGTGCACACCCATACCCACGTGCACAATCATCGATATACAATTTTGGAAAAACACTATGAATAAATACTTAAATGAACTGATTGCATGTTAACCTCTAACAACATTAGAATCATTTGGCACAAAAGTTAATTTAGAGAAAGAAGCAAGCAACAGAACAGATAAATATACTACACAATATAAAAATAGCAAACAAACAACAGAGTAGCTAACAGTACTTAAAACCAATTTGAAATATATATTTACAGCA